AAAAATCTGAAACCCTCCAGAGTGGAAAAGTTGAATATGCTCTGCCGTAGCATTTCTGTCTACAATGACCAAGACGCAAAACTCAGATCTTCTCACGTCGCGTACGCGTTTGCATCACATACAAACAGAACACAGAAAAATTTCATTTCCATGCATCGGACTTTCAAGCTGCACTGGCAGCTCTAATAAACTTACAGGAGTCATCCCAACAGATGTAAACAATATTCATACATACTATTAGTGAATAGAGAAGTATCTGCAATTACCTCTGTCAAATTCTGGATGCACCAGTTTGTCACAGGCGAGACAGACAGGTATGGACAAGACCTTGTTGCTTTAAGTACAAGCGTATCCAGTCGAATTCCACACACTTTTGTGTCACTGTATGCACACAGATTTCCTCCCAAAAACGCTTGTCTCAATGTGGAATAAAAAGTGAAGACATGACGCCACTTTTGCGTCTTCTGTTCAGACCGTCATCGTATAAATGTAGCCTTAGTTGTTCATTGTTTTCTCTGGTTTTGGATTCATTTTTGTGGATGTTTACATGCTCAATAAAGATGGACATTTCCAATATCAAGATTTGAAAAGTATAGTAAAAAACAACTTTTACTAGCGAAATCCACAATGTTTGAAGCAGTAGTGCAAAATATTTATAGAGATGCATGGGCCAAAATACTGTTAAGTAAAAAAAAGAACAAAGAACAATCAGATAAGCTGCCGGGTCACTATGTCCAGTCACACACATATAAGAAATGGGGCTAATGCAAATTCAGCCTGGAAGACCTAACTTTGCTCCTGTTTACTTCACTGTTTCTCCAGAGTTTACCTGCTCCTCAGCCTTCATCACCTCACTCCAAATACTCCTCCCTGCTGCTCGCCATCACTCCTCCTTGTCCAATCAGTGTCCTGTCTGCGCAATTTAAACCCCCACTGGTACACAGCCTCTTCAGTTTGTGCCGCGCCCCACCTGCTCCCCAGCATCCTCTCACTGTCTCCTTCACTCTCCTCGGCCTCACCTCTACCTCTTGTTTGTCCAAGCCCCGGGGTAAGACTTTGCGTAAGTGCCATCTAACCAGGCACGCCTTTCATTTTCTTCATCGTCTTCTGTCGGGGTCTGAGCGGCAAAGATAACTCATTCAATAAAACTTTCTCTTATACTTTCTCTTTGTGTCTATCTGAGTCTCTCCAGGTTGAGATGAGGTTGCTCAAATGCCGTTGTTCTTGTTATAGCACTACTAGGACTTGCTTGTTGATCAAAATACCAGGCTTGCTCACGATAGCTGAATTAAATATGATTCTTCAAAAAACAAACTTCCACTCTCATCACATCAAGCAAGAATTAAGATCAGCTTGAATTACAAAGCCACATTACACTTACAAAGGCTGGCAGAGTCATAATGTCGGTCAGATTCAAAGAGCTGAGAGCATGTTTTACCTTAAGATGGGAGACAGAATAAAACTGGACACTAAAGTGGAATGGACTTGCAGAGTGTATAATTCCTGGAGTGGAGTGTCTGGAAGTTGGCCTTTTGGCTGACTTAGTAAGTTTCCCCAAGTCTATTATAAACTCCAATTAACTTGAGTTCAATTGTAGAAGTACTCTGCTATCCATTTTGTAAGTTTAAGGCTCTGGTATAAGCTGTCCTCCTCTTTAGTGCTCCTCCAGTACAAATTGGCAGACACTGTTCGATAAAACCTATTTGACCCAGGCGTGAACTTCTGAGAGCATTAAAGAAGAGATATTCTGATTTCTTGGTGTTTAGAATAAAACTATGTAGATTAGTGTTTCTCAAACTGTCCTCCCTCAATTTAACATAAGACATAGTTAATTTTATACTCTTTTTTTGTTCTTATGTGGTTTAGTTCTAGTTAAGAACTACAATGAAAATGATATAGTCCATTATGACCTGGTACTGTTCACTATATGGTCAAAACCCATCAAATTTACTTTTTATTATTTGTCCCCTTTAAGAAGAATCTAGAAACTATTCATGCGGCATTATGAGTGGAACAGTAATGACATACTCCAATCATTTAAAGTGTTCTGTCATTGCCCTGATGACCCCTGATAATGAAATGAGAAGACAAAATACTTACTGTATTTATTACATTGTCTCTGAAAGCATTCAGGCGGCACAATCAAATATTGACTTGAGTGCATCAGATTAGGGAAATTAGATTTTTCGTCTGTGTTTCTTGTGTTTTGTTTGGGGCAGCAGTAGCCCAGCCAACTGCAGAGAGCCTTCACCCACATGGCTCCAGAAGTCATCGGAGCAGTTCAATCCGGACTGAAGCACCCCGATGACTACTGGAGAACTGTCTTTGTGTCCTTGGGCAAGACTCTTAACTCAGGTGGCTCTTAACTACAACTGTATGTGCTGTGCAAATGACTGGCCAGAAGTATTTTACCACCACAGAGCTTTGAGAGTGAATGAATAATACATGAAATTATAAAATGACTATGAGAGTCTAATCAAATTATGTTTTGTTTAATTCTCAGGTGGAGTGGTTGAACGAATGCTGGCGAAAAATGTGTTGATGTAACATATAAAATAAAAGAAAATGCTTCATTTAACATTAACTGAATTTGAAGTTACATTTTACAAGCATTTTGTTGATTTTGTTTACTTCATTATGACCTTTTTTTTATTATTACTTTGTCTTTACAGTTCATTCACAGTTGTCCTTATTTGGTCCTATTCTGAACAAAGTTTACTCCTGGTCTAGTCTCGGGCTAAACCAGATTAAATTTCAAGTTTAATCCTACTTTAGTCCCAATTTTCATATACCCTCATTTGCAGTAGAGTTTATCTCACAGTGGAGAAAAACAGAAGATACATTTTGTACATTCTCAGATCAATTTTAAATACGCATTGCAAAATTGAAATGATTATGTTTAATGTAGATATTTTACAGCATTATTTAAGATTGCAGGACAGAACATGTTGTCTTAGTCTCTGTGGATGATAAATTTACTTATGTCTTGTTGAATAATGGTCCTCATAGGCTGGACACAGTCGGCTGGTCTTGCCTTTTGGAGAAAATCATGTTAGTGTCAGAACATTGTAGCTCTATCCTTGAGTTGTTAGCATGCATTTAGTGAAGCGGTTATGTTGCAAATGTGGCCATCACTGCTGTTGACTTTAGCATCACTCAGGCTGCAGTGATTATGGTGCGTGTGCCGTTTGTCATGTGGAGCTGAGCCAGTGGTGATAGCACAGGACTGTAACTGTGCCTTGTCCGCCAGCTGTCACAGTTTAAGTTCAGCAAATGAAATGGAACAACGGTGTTTTTCAACGTTTTAAGTGAATGAAATGTAAATAGTAATTACGAGATACATGAAATTCTCTTTTGTTTTGCCTTAAAATTTATGCTATTTTCTGATATGTTAGAATGTTTCTGCATACCTGGTGTTGTGTTTTTCAATTACGCATGTTTAAAACAAAATCCAGCAAGAGTTCTTCTCTCAAATGGAAAACACTCCGTATTATAAACTCATTACATCTTCACTAGAATCATTCAGATGATTTCAGATCTGGAATTGCCAATCTCTACTGAACTAAACGTAAAAAGTAGCTGTTAACTTGAAAACTATCGCTTCATGATAAAACAAGGTGGAGCAGATGTTTTTGAGCTTTGAGCATGTAGACAGACTGATAATAAGGGGTTAGCAAAATGAACGTGAATGAAACAAAACACAACTCCAGGTATGTTTTTGAGGAAAACATGGCTTAAATCTCACAAGAGTCTTTTTTTGTTTTGTTTTAAAGTAGGCCTACAGTAACTTGCACATTTAAAGTACAGTAGTTTGCCCACAAACTTTGTTTCGCTCTCCTGCTTGTGGAGAATGTCTTGGACTTTACCTTGTCTTTTTTTGTCTTGTACCATCCTCTTATTTGGAGAGAGGCTTGACTCTCCTTGACACCTTCCCCAATTTCTCAGCCTCTTCAATCACCAAATCTTGGACTGGACATCTGCATAAAAGTAGACAAAAATTAAGATTAACTACAGTGGTGGTTTTAATGGTTGCTATAGACACAATCAAAGTTATTGTGGGCATAGATGTATTTGGACAAAATCTAATCATTAGAATTGCACAGAGAGGAAGTTATTGTTGCTGTTTAACCAAATGAGCACACTATATTGTTTGTTGACTTACACTCCAGGTTTTGTGACTTGCAGACACACAGGAAAAATCCAGGTTATAAAGAACATTGTATGTGTATCTCTGTTGTTGTAAATTTATGTCAAAGTTTCTCAATGCACTTTGTTTTTGGCATCCATGCTAAAAGGTTGTTTTGTGTACAAATCGTATCTCTGGAATAAAAACTTGATTAATTTAACCAGCAGTAGGCTAAAAATTGTTTATTGTCATTTTGATATAGGTAACACTGTTCTAATCTGTCAAACCAGGGTATGACGTTATATTTCTGCACTTTTATGGGCAATATTACATTTGTCTGATAGGCCTGCATATACCTAAACTAATAAAAGCATGTTTGCATATTTCTTGCATAGTATTTTGTCTATTATAATCGAGAAAAAAAAATTATAACGCTTACTCCGACCCCATTAATCTGATCTGTACAAACCCAACCTCTTACAGTTGGAAGAAGAGAGCAGGCAGGCGCACACGCTCACCACTCCATCCACCGTAGCGCACAGAGCACAGCACAGCGCACTCCCCCTGACGCCGTGGAAGTGAACTGGAGCCTTTATCTGATCAAGCAGCGAGCGAGAGATACGCAGTTTAACCAGAGCGCAGCGCGGAACACAACAGAGCGCACCTGACCGGGCACTCAGCCGGCTGTCCAGTCCAGCACGGTCAGCAGCTATCCACTCTTCATCTCACTGGACTCACTAAAAGCAACCAGCGAAGTCTGCACTCGTGTGGGATAACACTTCAGGTGTCTATTTATGGTGCGAGCACTTTTTTTTTTTTTGCTTTTACATTCGAAGAAGCGACTTTGCAAACTCCGTGCGTCTTGCCGGTGATTGCGCACTGATGTCCCACACCATCTGCGCGGAAAACTTGGAGGGATGCTGGATACAGAGCGGCGTGAAGGCGAGAGGAAGCACAAACACATGGACAGCAGCTCTACACTCCGGGTAAGTCTGACAACTAAGATACAGTGCTGCTTTGTTACCGAGACTGTTTGATAATGGACGTTTATCTACGAGTCCTCAGACTCACGTAGTCACTTAATCGTTTCATTTATAATTTCATCAGATGAAAAGGTTTTAATTCATTAGAGTAGTGTGCATAAATAATGTGCAACACCTAATGTGAAACAACTAGTTACGCAGGCATTGCAATTTGTGAAAGTTACATTTTCTCATTGTTTTGGACTAGTCTGTTTGAGGAGCAACGTGGCGGTGTGGCTTTAAAATACTGCGGTGCTTAGATTATTTTTCTGTCACTAGAGCAGTTAAACTGGTAGAAAAAAAAAAAAAAGATTCGTTTACATGTAGTAATAGTAAAACATAGTTTATTTGTTCATTATTGCTTTTGCGTAAAGGACCATGCTTTCTCCATGGCAGTGCTAAAAATCTATATCGACAGACTACTGATAAAGACGTGGACTCAGGGCTTTTACAGGTCGTACCTTAGATTGTCCATATGTCTACTGTGTGTCTGGGACAGGGACCATTAACCTGTTGATGCACCCGGATTCGACTCCAGCCCTCCAACGCTGTCTTTTTTAGAATAGCCTCAAAAAGTGACAGAGTAGCCCATGATACATTTCATAGTCTAAATACACAATTCTGTCCGTCCACAGAGGCTAGGCATAGCCTAAACATCGGAGAGCAGTCATAATGGCCTCGTATTCTCTAAAGGTCATCATTACACATAACGGGAATGTGCGCTTTAACATGAGCCTATTAGGCTATAGACAATATTTTAACAAGCCTAAACAGCAATGATGAAGTGAGAGAAAAAGAAAAGAAGACAGAAAAAAAAGCCAAGTCTTAGGTAAATTGATTATTACCTATTAAAAGAAAGTTGGTGATAATGGTTCTAATGGTTTCCTTCCATGTCTGCTTGGTTTGAAAACGTGCACTTTCATTCCTCAGCTTCTGCAAGCATGTGAAACACAGCCTACATATTATAGGTTTCCACATGAATATAAGTCTAAACCAATTTTTCATTTTACAATTAGCCTCGGGAATCATGATTCAGCAGCCAAAGCTAAAACAGTCACCTGCAATAGAAGATGGAAGTTCTTCAAGCTCTTGGAATGTTCAGATTTTAGCTCACTAGAAAGAAATATTTTCTTTTTTTACCTCATGCCTGTGACTCATTGGTTCTTCAAAGGGTTCATTTTTTTTATTGCTGCTTTCATTGTCTAATTTCTAACAAACACATTTGAATTGCACTTGTCCTGAGTTAAGACTGTGGCAGTTTTCCCTAAACTGTTCTTTGTTCTAGTGTGCCTCAGTGATCACATTTTCAGCTCTCAGCCTCCAAAAGAGATTTTCTGGCCATTTAGTCAGCCCATTATCTTTGTCTCCACACTCTTGGTTAAAGCGACTCTTTGTACTGTCTGGTGAGGTTCATGCTTCTTTTTCAATTAGGCTGCAATTTTCACAGCACTTTTGGAAAACTAGAGACCTGTTAGTAACAGCTTACTAAGATGCAAATCTTGTGTCCACAAAACAGTTCAAATCAGAACAAGGCTTATTTCTAATAAATAATAGAGCCTATTGAAGATACAATATATATTACCCTATTTGTGCTGACAGATGTGTTGTAAAGTCCAGTGTTATAATAAGATTGTGTAAATGTGCAACAGAGGAGGAAACTAGTGTTTGTTAGCTTTACTATGATGGCAAAACTCCACTCTTACCACTGAATGTTGTGAAATGAGCTTAAAACACATGAGCTATCTGCTAGGAAAGTGTTAAGAAAGTGAGGAATACATTTGGACAATCACAAACCATTTTAAATGAACTGTTAGCTGTTAAATAAGCTGTTTTTCAAAATTTTAAGAATATAAACATCTTGTACAGCACCTTTACCTTCATGGATTTAGTGATCAATTGTGCACCTACTCAGTGAAGTGAAACTGGTTAGACAACAAAGCCTTGCTTCCTGCGCTAATACTAAGTGCTTTCCAGTGGTGTCCCTTTGGAGCTTTACTTGAGTGATTACATCGTGCCAAGTGCTCTCTGCGTGATTATTGCTTTTCAAGAGCGATCCTGCCCTCCATTATGAAATCATCCAAATTATAAAATGGTTTTCTAATGCTCCAGATAAATGCAAACATATTAGATCAGTCAGCTAATTTTAAATAAGCTAACTCATCAGTGTGACTATGTAGCATTTCTGATGGATTTGCTTGTCTCTATGGAAATGGTGTTACAAGTTACGAGTCAATTCTGTGAAGAGGCGACCATGCTCATAGTGAAAATGCATGGTTTTTATTTTAGGTATTCTTGTCGCTGTAACTGAATAAGTCCAATATAAACAAGTTTAAAAGCCATGTCGAACATTCCAGGAAAAGCAAAAAATCTCCATGGTGACGGACCCCACACCAGAAAAGTTACATAGTGCCCCTTTAAAACCAGGTCAGCCAAAAAAGGTTCCATGCTATTCTTTTGTGTAGACACCAAAGTCTGAGTGGACGTGGGAGGCAGGCATATGAGTGCAGACTGAACAGCAGAATTATGCAAACATGCTTGCAAATCATTATTCACACAATGAGACCTGTTGTAGATGAACAATGCAAAGTAAGCGTTGTGTGGAGCTCCCTGCAGAAAGGTGACAGAGAGGTAACATGGTGGGCACAAACAGCTGCTGGCACTTTCATACAATCCTCTTTGAAAGGCAACAAGAGGAAAGTTCAGAAATGTAGGCTCTATCTTTGTCTTATACAACTTCCATTTTAAAGTAAGTTAAAGTGGGACAGGTTATGCCAGGACAGAATATACGTTAATGATGAATAGCACTTACAAAGGGCAGACCTCCTCCAGACATTGACCTTTTCTTGCAATGGTAAATGAAATGGCGAAAGTATATATAGGTTAAGATGTAGACTATATCATCTCTGAAGGGGAATTTTTACATTCACGCCTTCCCCAAAGGTGCACATTATGTAACTGTTTTGGAGGAAGTTTTGCCAAGACTTTCCCAGTGTGTGAGATTAAAGGGCCCCTACTTTGCTATTTATATTTTTTTATCTAAGTTATAAGGTTTCCTCATCACAAACAGACCTGGGGTTGTGTTTTGTTTCATTCGCACAAAAACCCTGCACATTTAGGCTTAGGAGGTCCTCTCTCAAACAGAAAACTCTGTTCCACCTTGTGATGTCATACAGGAAGTGCTCCACTGTATTTCTTTTCTTTTTTTAAATTCCAAACACCTTCACTAGAATCATTTGGATAATTTCAGCCCTGGAATTGCCAATCTTTACTGAACTCAAGGTAAAAATGAGCTTGAAAATCTTGAAAATTACCGCTTCATGACATCACAAGTTGGAACAGAGCATTTAAGCAGACTAATAATAAATAGTTACTCAAATTTGTGTGATTAAATTTTTTTCAGTTAAAACTTGATTTGAAACATAATAGACTCCATTAAGACTTTATGTGCCAGCTGACCATTGGCACAGATGCAAATTTTGCCCTCCGACCATCAACAATCACTAACACACAGACACACCACTTTCAGTCTAGTGGGGTGGTGCACTAAACCACCACGTATTGCCTAAAGACACAACAACTGAACTTGGTCCAACATCCGACCTTTGGGTTAGTGGACAAGTGCTCTAACCACTGAGCCACTGCACCTTGAAAGGGCTCTTCTCTTCACAGATCTGACCAGCAGAAAATGTACATAGTGCACCTTTAAAACCACTGAACAAACTGGACCAGTGGAGCACAGTATCTGGAGTCAGAAGTTCAAGTTCAACAAAGGAGTATCTTTTATCTTAGAACTGTGAAAATGTTACTAGACAATGGCAGATCCACAACAACAGAAAAAAGATATTTACTTATAGAATTATGATGGAAAAAAGAGGTCTGAAAAATAATTCAGTTAAAGGTGCATTGTGTAACTTCTGGTGAGGATCCATTAACAGCTTTTCTCCATTGAGTTGTTATTGCTTTGTCTGGAGTCTTTCACAGTATAGAAATAGTCTAGTAATTTTTGAGCTATAAAACCCACCTGTAATGTAATATTAATTTTACTTATTTATTGATTAATTGATTTGATAGGAACAGGGCATATTAATGAACGTCTGTAATTACAGTGTAAAGATGCCAGATTATAGCAAAAAGATCATTTACACTTCAGAGTTTTATTGTCCTCATGGGGAAATTCATTTCCACACACACAGAGCTCATTTGGCACATAGAGCAAAAACACAACACAACACACACAGACACATCACATTCCATCTGTTGTCCCGGGGCAGGTGACACAGAGAACAATTTAAAATAAATGAAAGGTGTTTAATGTCATACTATGGAACATCCTAGGCAAGGAAATGACATATCCATAGAAACAAAAAGGTTACGAACCCCTAATCAAAAACATATATAGGCCCTTTTAAGGCTTAAACTTTGGTGGGTAGACAAATAACATAATGTAAGATCTGGTCTTCAGTTTGGAGAGGCTGAGGTGGCTGGAGAATCTGCTGCTACAGTAGAAAGATAGTGTATCAAATATGAATGGTTTAAGAAGTCATTGGTTTGGGGGCAAGTGTAAAATACATCTTCCCAGATTTCCTCCTGGTACAGCAATTTTTCGACTTTTTGAACATCTATTTTCAACTAATGTGACTCCTCGAATACTTTGAAATTCCATATTACGCTATTCCTGATCTGTTATAATCTTGTTTCCTCATGTAAAACATACCTGTAGTTTTGTTTTGTTTCATTCATATGTTTAACACACAAATCCTGCATGTTTAGACTGTGTTCTTCTCTCACTGTTCCACCTTGTGATGTCATGAAGTAATACAGAATGTGCTCCACTGTGTTGTTAAACTCCATACACCTTCACTAGAATCATTTGGATCATTTCAACCCTGGAATTGCCAAGCTTTACTGAAGTAAAGGTAAAAGGAGCTGTTAACTTGGAAATGTGGAACAGGGTATTTTGAGCT